AGGCTAAATCAAATGGAAGAGAAGACACAAATAATGGAGGTTGAAGTAAAAAAGGTGACAGGAAAGAAGCCAATTGGACCTCACATTCAGCTCTCCATAAGGTTAGAAAAGGAGATTACATAAAAGTAAAAAGAATGTGGCATTTTGGAGTAGTGTTTTAGTCAACTTGCAGGGCAGCTAACCACATCTTTCCAGGGGTAGGTTTAGTTGATGGAAATGGTGCATGGTGTGTGAGTGTGTCATTTTATTCTTGCAATTCAGAAACTTGCAGGCACTCGTTCGCTACTAGTTCTCTGGCACGCACACAGTTAACAAATGGTGTCTAAGCTTGCCCCAGTATATGTTGTTTAGGGTGAGTCCTCGTTTCCCCGAATCTCTACAACAAAGGTGGTATGTGCAAAGTTAGCACGACCAGTATTGCCACAATATTCACATGATTCTTACAGCATCTGGTGCATGAAAAAAGGAAAACATGAGTAAGGCCTGTGCAGAATACCACATTTAAAGACAGGATAATCATTAATCGTAAGTCTCTTCATTCTGCTGTGTAAAGCATCCCATGGGAGCCCGCTATACACATGTCCAGTGGGTTTTTATTACTCTTCTGTCTCCGTAGAAATCCATGCTGTACCAATGTGTGCTAATTAAAGATGCTGTCATATGGAGGCGTCAACGAGCCAGTGGCTAAATGTTGTGGCTTTCTATCACATTGTGCAGCCCGGAGTTTTATACCATCTAAAATAAGTATGAATCCCCTGCTCAGTTTTTATTAGGGGCATGTAACACATTATGTAATAACACCGCATTATGTAATCACTTGACAAAATGTAATACATTTTCACAAATGTAGTTTTAGTAATACATCATTGTAAGGTTCTCCTAAGGGGTTCACAACAGATCCTTCTAAGTACGGATACCTTAATAGATGTGATGGAGGTGGCAGTGCCTTTATTGCTTGGAGGACTCTTATTTATAGCATTTTCACTTGGCGTGTATCTTCACTCATTCCTATGTACTCACTATCACTAGTGCTTCCTCCTGCTACTTTACTTTTTGCTTGCATTCTGGGATATCAAGCAATATTTTGCATTCTTTCTCTTCTTTACTTATATATGTTACTTTTAGAAAAGCATTAAAAGTTTTTAACACAATTTTTGATTGTTAGTAGGACATCTCAGATCTAACAGTTTCCGCACTTGAGAAATGTCATATCATTTCATTTTAACTATTATCAAACTAATTCACTGACTCGAAAGAAACTATATGTATCATCTGGCTGCCCACCACTGTGTTTATTTAGATGCTGATCCAGATACACATGAATCATTTCTTAATAAAATCGCAATAGTAAGAGGAGCTGCTTTGGTGGAGGTATGTGCTCTTTGAGTATTTTTAAGTAGCGATGAACATGATTCATGTTGCGCAGTAGTAAGGAACTTGTAGTGTATCAAACTATGGATGCTACATCCAACTTCCATCCATGCAACTACAACAAATCTGAACTTTACACAGCAAATCAAGTTATATATCTGTGAATTATGCTTACTGTTCGAACCTGAAACTCATTGCAGCATTGAAGATATTTCAACGACAAGGTCTGCTAAACACATTTTCAAAAGTAAAAGTAAATTTTCTTGAACTGGTTCTTCTATGGCTCAAAACAAACTTGCCTATACCGAGGTATAGCATAGTGATGGTAGCTTGTGATTAATGCAAATCATGTGGGTCAGTGCATGTTTGCTACCCAGTTTAGCATGAACTTGTCACAGTGCTGTGTGACACTAGCTCCCCAAGTTGTGGTATAATGATGCATAATAATGTGCCCTGCATTTATTTTATTTTTTTAACAGCCTACAACAGCAGGTTAGTACACCGAAATGACAAGTGATTTTCTGTACATAAAATACTTCTGTTTTGAAGCTTTGCTATGTATTAAAGCTACATATTTTGGCTCGTAATGAACATTCACAGGAGGCATTACACAACACTTTATTTACTGTTCATTTACAGCTCTAAGGACTCATCAATGTTAATATAAAGGGACTACAATGCACATGAGTGCAAATATATATTAATTTGCATCATCAATGTAAATCATTTTCCATCATTAGTATAGCCTCCCTTTGTTTGTTTCTCTTTAATAATGTCTGTTTGTCTGCCCATAGTCTCTTCAAAGCTTATATATACGGAGTTGCACATCTACCAGTAATATGATGCATTTCTGTTTTTGTATTCATATCATTCACTTGCTGATGTTTTATAAAACTTTGTCCAAAGTCAAACAGTAACTTTGTATGCATATACAAACAAATCACAACATTTTAAAGGGTGTGTGTGTGCTCTTTTTGTGAGGACCAATTTTAATGTTTGAGTGGTTTAAGACTTGGCTAAGGTTAGCATTAGATTTAAGTTAGGATATGGGTATTGATAAGTAAAGTTAGAAACTAGGGAATGCATTGTGTTAGTAGTACTAATGTGTGTGTTGTACAATTAGTCAACTCCTTCCAAGTACAGTTCTGTGGGAAGCCAACATCAGGTCAAGTGTTCATAAGTTAAATTTAAGTATGCATGAATTGATGCCTATGTTTAATCATGAGGAATAGGATTATCCTGTTCTGTCAATATTTGTTTTCTCATATTGGCAACCCATGTGTAAGAGAAGAGATAGGTGAAGGTATTCTTTGTTTGGGTGTAAAAGGTGCAATAACAGAACTTAAAAAAACCCCAAATATATGAAAATATATATTTGTAAAAAAACATTAACTAAACAAAATACTTAAAGGCTTGAAAAGAAAAGTCTAAAAAGACTATAATATACATAAGTAATATCTTACAATGTAATTCATTATAATATAATTAATACAGTTGGAAGGTACACAAGTCCTAATTTATTCTTTAATGTATTTTCAACACCCTACTTAAGAAAATAATCTCTATCTCTCTTAGTATTATATAATCAATTCAACAAATAATAGTTCTCCCACCACTCAAATTACAAACGCCATACCTGTGGCAGCCTTTATTATTAAAAATCACTAGACCTTGAAACCTCCTATAATATAAAAAAACCAATTAGATCCCCGTTCCAACTACTGCTTTGTACATCTCCACAATGCTGCTTGTCATCCCACAGTGAGCCTTCACCCACATCCTACTCAGAAACACTGCAGTTTCAGCCTGTCCAAACAAAATTAACACCCCTCCTCCTTTTATGCCTTTGTAGACTAGCTCCTCATCGTTAATTGTCAAATCTGAAGCTGCTAACAGCAAAGCAGCTGCTGCAAAACTGAACATGAGAACAGACACGTGCCTGAGGAGAAGTAAAAGTCATTTGAAAGCAGTGTTGTCCTGAGATATCAACATCCTTAGTCGGAGCATTACTCAGAGTGAGACCAGATGAAAGCCCTGGGTCAAGGATGTGTCCCTTGACATATAGTGCAGTCAGAATGTATTAGAACAGTGACACATCTTTTAACGTTAGCTCTGTACTTCAGGATGTATTTGAAATAAAAAAAAGACTATAATGTTAAAGGGCCAACTGTCAGCTTTAATTTGTGATTTCACAAAAGTACTTAAATCAGGTGACTGATGACATTCAAGAACATTCCACTCTTTTTATGTAAAGAACCTCTTGATTGCCTTTCCTTTACAGTGAGGATCACTGTCTAAGTTGTATCGTCCTACTATTGTAGGATTATGTTACAAAAGGGGACACAAATCCTAGGATTTTTATACAGTTGAATAAACAACCTTTAACACCCTTAAGGCAAGACTTTTAATTTGTCAGTCTTGCATTTACATGGGTTGCAAAAGTTAAGGTTGTCACTGATCCAGATGACAAGATATTTACATTCATAGACTCGCTCAATATAGGTTTCATCAAGAGTGACAAAGGAAAATTTAGATTGAGACGATCTTTTGTTCCTGGGTGCTGCATTTTAAACAAGTTTTAGTTTTAAAGTGCTCTTTGGAGATTAGCAGCAGCAAGCTGCATTTGTTCTATGGCCAGGTTTCTAGGGTGAGTAGTACAATATAGGATTTTGTCGTCAGCATAGAGGTGGGTGTCACCAGTACTTAAATGTGACATGATGTCATTTAGTGAAAAAAATGAAAAACAAATTGAACAGACAGAACAAATGGTGTTGTTTTGGAAAGTGGCATGGAATCCTTCAAACCTTTTGGGAGGAAGGAACTTTATATTTCTGCAAATGTATGATTTTGAGACTATGGCACTGCCATTACCCAGGTTCCTTTTGTATTGAGCAGAATATTTCAGTGGATTGCGAATTTCTCAAAATTAAGAAAGCTTTTCTAAGAAAACAGAGATGAAGAGAGCTGACAACTATGCAAGGACTCTGTGTATGCATAACATTCAAGCATTTCACTGTAAAGTAGAACATTTCCTGATATTTTAGGAGACAAAAATGATCAAATTTGTGTGTTTAAATCAGCACAGAGCTCAGAGAGTGCTTGCAAATAGTGGCATATCTTCAGAAGAATGTGGGGGGCTTGTGCTATCCAGAAAACAGTACATCTCATGATGCTTCTTCTTGGAGTTCTTGGTTGTAACAGAGAAACCAGCGTCATGACCCATGATCATAGGAAAGCTTAAAGGATGGTATGCAAAGTTTAGTTTGGGATTCTTTCTGTAGCTGCTTTAAAGAAGAGCACCAGTATTGAAAGAACCAAAAAACAATTCTTATGCTGCAGCCATTGTTCCATTTGCTTGACTGTTGTCATGTTATTTTCAAAATTTCCGTATTTACAATAAGATCATTCTTTCATTCAAATCACTTTAGTCCGTTTCTCAACTCTTCTGGTACTATTTAAGAGGGAACTTTAAATTATTTCTCACTGGTAAATCTGTTGGAAAAGTTGTTCATCCTTTTTGCTTGATGGAGAATGATAAATTGTTGATTCTTCCTCAGCTTATGTGCAAATGATATCTAAACATGTGAGTAAACATCTTCTCTGTGTCTCTCTCTTATATTCTCTTGTAGGTTCATTGCTGTGTGATGGACGAATGACACACCTCCTCTTTCCTCTCCTCCTCCTCTTACGGGCTCCCCTATTGTTCAGCTTTGGTGAGCGCACCTGCCCCAATAGCTGCCGATGTGAGGGGAAAACCGTCCATTGTGATTCAGCTGGCTTCTTAGACGTCCCAGAAAATGTCTCAGTTGGCTGCCAAGGCCTCTCTCTGCGCTACAATGAACTGCACACCCTGCTACCATATCAATTTGCTCATCTAAGCCAGCTTCTCTGGATATACTTGGACCACAATCAGATTTCAGCTGTTGACAGTCGAGCATTCCAGGGGGTCCGCAGGCTTAAAGAGCTAATACTGAGCTCCAACAGGATCACATCCCTGCACAACTCAACATTCCATGGAATTCCCAATCTTCGCAGTCTGGACTTGTCCTACAACAAATTGGAAATCCTGCAGCCAGGTCAATTCCATGGCTTACGAAAACTACAAAACCTACACCTACGGTCAAATGGTCTCTCCAACATCCCAATTCGAGCATTCCTGGAGTGTCGAAGTTTGGAGTTTCTGGATTTGGGCTACAATCGAATCAAGGCTCTTACACGCACCACGTTTTTGGGTCTGCAGAAGCTGATGGAGTTGCATCTGGAACACAACCAGTTCTCACGGATCAACTTTTTTCTGTTTCCACGCTTAGCCAACCTGAGATCACTCTATCTGCAGTGGAACCGCATTAGGGTGGTCAACCAGGGTCTTCCGTGGACTTGGTATACATTACAGAAACTTGATCTGTCTGGAAATGAAATTCAGACCCTGGACCCAGCTGTGTTTCACTGCTTGCCCAACCTTCAAGTCCTCAACCTGGAATCCAACAAACTGTCCAATGTGTCTCAGGAGGCAGTGTCAGCATGGATCTCACTTACCTCCATCAGTCTTGCTGGGAACATGTGGGATTGTGGAACTGGCATATGCCCACTTGTGGCTTGGTTGAGGAATTTTCGAGGGAGTAAAGACACCACTATGATATGCAGCAGCCCAAAGTATCTCCAGGGAGAAAAAATTATGGAAGCCACAAGGAACCATGGTATCTGTGAGGAAACTGATTACGTTCTGACAGAAACACCCTCACCAATGTCAGAGCTCATTTCTGAAGCCACCGCTGAACCAACCTATGCCCCTACTAGTGGCTCTCCACCAATGCCACCAACCAGCACCTTTGGTCCTCTCCCACCATTCAGACCTAGACCTATTCCTCATCCTACCTTTCCAGGGCACATGAGCAAAGACCCAAGAGACTCAGTTGCTCGCACTAAACCCACTCTTATACCACCCCCAGAAATGGAGCACATGACTCTGCACAAAGTGGTGGTGGGCAGCGTGGCACTCTTCTTCAGCATGTCCCTACTCTTGACAATTATCTATGTGCTGTGGCGGCGCTATCCAGGTGCAACCAGGTTGTTGCAGCAGCGGTCCATGGTCGGGCGCAAACGTCGCAAAAAGAGTCCAGAGCCAGAGCAGACCCTGAGCTCCCAGCTCCAAGAGTATTACATGAGCTACAACCCTGCTGCCACACCAGAGGCATTGGAGGTGCTAGGCAATGGCACTGGTTCCTGCACTTGCACAATTTCTGGCTCCAGGGAGTGTGAGGTATGATCCATCGCATCAGCGTTAAAATAAAAACTCAAAATCAAAATACAAAGGCTCAACAGAGAGGTAAATCCTTTATCAAGTATGCCCTGTAAAAAGACACTGTTGAATCACAGTCAAGCACCCTTGACTCTTCGTTCATAACACGCTTGAATTCGAATGTTAGATGTATCCAATTATTCAGGTTTTACTCTTCAAATTTTAAAGTGGAAAATAGAAAACAACTAATCTGATCCAGGGGAAGCAATCTAGAGCATGGGTTTACAACACATTATAACAATAATGCAATACCAGGTTTTGTGTTGTCTGAGGTAAATTCAATGGGGTTTTGATTATTGTTCTGCAACACAAAATGTATCTCTTCTGTGTTAACAAAATTTAAATTTTAAAGCTACACTTTTGTTCTTCATGGTGTGTTAACTTTAAGGGACCATGAATAATTGGACACTAACAATTTTGCAGACACTCCACATCAGCATGGCTTGGGTCATATATGTTTTAAGTAACTTGTTTTGAGTGTATGTTTGTTTGTATTGCTTGTACTGTGTGTGTGTGTGTGTGTGTGTGTGTGTGTGTGTGTGTTGTGTATGAGGGGGGGGGTGCTCTGGTACATTAAAGTGTGTCTACAGAACTTATTTAAAAAAAAACAAACAATTTTAATGTATTTTTTATTTTGTATTACTAATGCAACACATTAAGTTCAAGTTCAGTTCAGGTATTGATTGGGCTTTGACAGTTTTGCTGTCATAGGTCAAAAGGGAAAGGAGTTCCCTGAGAGGCCTATAAAAGCACTAAAAAGTGAATTATGTCAACTTGTACATTACAAGGTTTTGATGTGCATGGTCGTATGTAGGGAGGCGAGGCACTACGGTAATCCCAAAGCTTATGATATGGCTTAAATGTGGATCCCTCTGCTGTGAGATGGAGTATATTTATAAACCAGGGTAATTACAATCACCCGCCTGAAAACTAAAAATTGCAGGCTGTCTTTCTTTTCTCTACAAAAATGCTTTTTAAAGAAAATGATGCCTTTCAAATAATGGGTGCCCAACTATGAAAAATTCACCAAGGGGTCCAAACATTATGTTAAATATTGTCTAAAAAGATGAAAAAGGGGTGCAATACCATATTGTACAAGGGAAATTATTAATTATAGATTTATTATCATTATTCAGAAGGAAAGCTTGACAGTTACAATAAAGCAAGTTTATTTACTTGATGACGGCAAAGAAGTTATCGCAATTGTGATACTGGTGGATTATGATGACGTATACGTGTATAAACAATTTAACACTAGAACTACCGTAATTCCATAACTACTAGAACGACCATAGCTGTCATTCTGACCGTTCATACTCTGATGTTCATACGGCCATACTGAACGTCATTTTCGTCATTTTCGTCATGTCATATCTACATTTGAACCTTCTCTTTAAGTTTTCCAATGAAGGTTTTAATTCCTGTCGTCATGTTATGATGTCATCGACCTTAAAACAAGCACAAAAGAAAGATTGCCCCGACAGGTGCTGCCTCTCTGTGTGAGGAAAGTTTTGCGTCAAAAAGATTCTTTTCACCGCACTCACCACGTGAATAGACATGCAAAAAAGTTAAAAATAATAACAAACTATAAGAAAATTTCAATTCAAATGAATGTGAAAATGTATTTTCCAGCCTAATTGTTAAATATTCTCTTATTTTTTTGTACAATAAAAACAAATCTTATGATACAATAACTTATAACATATATACAATAAGAAAAACATTACCTATATATATTTGAATACATTGTAAAACCTTTCATGGAAACGTATGCAGCACAATACAGTAAACACAAAAACAGGCTAAGAAAAAACATGAACATTAGCTAAACAAGAAAATGAACTGCTTAACGAACAAAATCAGATTAACACGTTTTACTCAAAATGGGCTCATTTGAACGGCACAAACACCCCGCATCATTCAATGACGCTTACGCACAGTCCACACAGGTAAACACCGCCTTTCGTGTGCAGCTCCCACACACTACTTTGTGACATTTGGCACGGCTCCTTGGTTTTATTTTTTTTGCAGTTCCTCCTTACTTGGCACTGCCTTCTTCTATCTGCTGCTGCTCCTGCCCTGGCTCTCGCACCACCAGTTGTGTGGCTTTTGATCTTATGTGGTTGGAGCGAAGTTCGCTCACCAGTCACGTGATGAAGTCCCTCCGTGAAACTTGCTCATTCGTGCACTTCTTGTACAATATGTGCGCATTGATTGTAGCCGAGGAAGTTATAGAAAACAGCTACTGGCCATCTACGGGAGGGTGCTTTCACTGAGTATTTTCTAGCCATTTGATCTAGAACGTCTACTCCTACCTTGGTTTTGTTGTAGTAAGTTACCGTCTCTGGCTTGCTCTTCTGGCCACTTGTGATGCCAACAGCTGTGTGGACAGTGCTGAGGATGCAGACATTCCTTTTTTTTTTTGCACTGATACACAGTCAGTGATGCATCGCCACTGAACAGCGGCCTTTACGCCTTACGCACGGGGGGAGCTCTCGTCTGCTCTTGTTTACCGTGCCAACCAAGCTGGTTTTCTTGGCCTGAAGTGCAGTGGCAAGTTCAAAGGAAGTAAAAAAATTGTCTGTGGTGACGTTTCTTCCCTTCCCCAGGTATGGGTCGACCATTTTCAGCACCACACTGTCTCTAAGTCGTTGACCTGGCCTCCTTGTCTCGTCCTTACCCAGATAAGGCGTACCGCTTACCGTATATTTGGTGTCGACATCCGCAGCAAGCCAGAATTTGATTCCGAATTTGTCCGGTTTGTTTGCAATATACTGCATGAAGCTGCACCTTGACTTTGTAGGGAATAGCTGCTCATCCACAGTGATGTCGGCACTGGGCTTGTAGCAGGCGATGCAGTTTTGTGCAAATCTGTCCCAAACATCACTCATAAGGGCAAACTTGTTGTCTCGCAGGCATGTGCGTTGGGTTTCCCTTCTGTCGAAACGCAGGAATCGCATGATTTCCTGAAACCTGTTTCAGGACATGGTCTCCTTGAAAAAAGCGCAGCCCCACTCAGCTGACCAAAAGCTTGCCAAATCCATCCCTTTTCCACATTGCGCGCCACAAATGTAAATTAGACCAATGAAGGCTTTTAGCTCTTCAACTGTCATGTCCCATATTTTGTCCTGCTTGACTCGGTGGGCCTCAGCCACGGTGCAGTCCCTGATGTGTTTCAGCATGCCATCATCCACCAAACATAAAAAAAGGCTGTAAGGGCATCTTCAATATTGCACTTGACGTGCGCTGTGGGCCCTGCAGCTTCTGTTATTACATTTTAGCATTGTCGCCTTCCTCTGTCTTCACCCGACTCTCTATAGGTCCACACTGTACCGTCTTTCGCGGTTTCACGCCTCTCGGCTGAAAGTGGGTGTATTGGGCCAGCTTCCTCATCTCGTGACGGACTGAGTTGTCTTGGCACAGCAGGCACATCTGATGGAGCAGGATTTTGCACTATTGCCAAAAAAAAGAACAGACTAATTACTTTTTTAGTTCATGAAATCACAATCTTGTTAGGACTAATATTAGCCTATATGATTTCTACTAGCCTGACAATATAGTATAATACTAATAATAGCAATAGAATAATAATAATGAAAAGGTGTGTGCCGGTGGAGGTGTGTGCCTGAAGTAAAAATGTGAATTAATGGATCGGTCGTCAGGAAAGGTGCGTCGGTAACAGCGGTTACAGCAGGTGTGTGAGGGGAAAAATAATATGACAACCGTTTTCGATAGCAGATCTGATCAGTATAGCCTACCTTAGATAGTTAGAGACGGAAAACTTTACTTTGAAGTACAACTATTATTGATAATAGCCTAGCTAGTCGGCCTCGCAAAGTATCAAGAGAAACATACCTGGAATATTATCCTATGGAAGAAGGTTAGTTCCAGGATCGGAGATGTCCAGCCGGCTCTTTTTTTGACGGGGAATTAATTCATTATCTGAATCACTCTCAGAGCTGGATGAACTGTCCAGGGACCAAGAGACATCGCTGTTCCTATCCGTACCTGCTCCTCCATCAGACTCCTCATCGTCAAGCCTCTGAAGCATGGCTAAAGCCTCTGTGGCTGTCATTCTTCTTTTTGATGACATTTTGTATAATATTTGGTTTATTTTCTTCGGTTTAGCTCAAATGTATTACTTACTATAGCGTTGGAATAGTGTAAACAAAAAAGGACAGAAAAAACGTGCGGTCAAAATGATCGCCATGGCCATTCTAGGTAGAAATAGTCAGAACTGTTTTGTGTTTTGTGATTTTAATAAAATAACAGTGTCAGAATGAAATATACACATATTTAGGAAAATTCAGAGTCCTACAGCCACATTGATTTTATTTAAAAAAAAGTATTTATTACACTGTAAAATTTAAAAACGGTCAAAATGACTGCCTTGGTAGTTCTAGTGTTAAAAAGACACTGGTAAAGAACAATATTGTGAGACCAAGTTGAATTCTGGGGCTTTACGATGCACCACTGAAAGAAGGTATGTTTTTATCCCACCTTAATGGCATATTTCTGTGTTGGGAGTCTGTGTCAATATGATTTAGTAAGGTAGCAGCTAATCAACAATCAGTGACTGGGACTGTCCTCTAGGTGCTCTCTTTGAGTGAAGGAGCACTTCAAAAAGGTGCAGACCTGAGGTGGTTAAGGGGCCAAACCAATCTTAAGTTTAAAGACATCTGCCCATTAGTGCTACTCTCCAGATATTGGAAATGGAGTTGAGGAGTTTTCTCAGAATAATTAAATCTGGGACTTGAGCATTGTGCATGACCCCGAGTCTTTGTATAAATAACATGATATGTGGACTCGCCAAAGATTGCTAGCCCTGCTTCAACATGAAGCACGCAAGTTTGCGCAGAGCACGGCCATTATTTGATGTTCTGATGTTTTTTCTTTCCAGGTTTTGCAAAGTTTAAGTTCAGCTTTCATGCTGGCATTCCAGCATTGACAGGAGGCAATCA